CTGGCCCAAAAGGGAGAGGCAGGAACAGCCATGAGCCCACGGGAGATGGCGGGCAGTTGCGCCACCAGGACACGCACCAGAGGGGCGGATGGATGGATATATATATATATATAATTTATTTAATATGGGGACACTTGTGCTGCTTGTGGAGAGACAATCACAGTTCCAAGAGAATAAGAGCTTTACTGTCTTACAAAGACCTGGTATAGAATAACTTTTGCTAAAATAACAAGGGAGACTTTCACGTTCCTTTTTTACTGAAATTATTTCTCTCCCTACATGTTCCATGTGCTCTCTGAAAATAGAAAAGCTATTTAAGAAGAAGCAGTGTGCGCGCACACACACAGCAGAGGAACTGAATAGAGGAAGGATGAAAGGGGGGAAAGGAGCCTCAAAGGGGGGCGGGGGGTGAGAGAAACAGAGTGAAAAGCGATGGAAAAAGGAAGGGGGGGATGGAGAGCTCTGAAAAGAAAGGCTGAATGGAGCTGCAGGAAGGGGAAAGAGGAGAGCGCTTGAAAAGAAAGGAGCCCAGATTCACAGCCTGTGCCAAACCCCCAAACACCCCCCCCCTTTGTAAAAGATTTAAAATCCTTTTGGCTTTTTTTGTCCCCCCCCTTGGGGGGGGGGGGGGGGGGGTAGGGGGAAAAAGAAAGTTAATTCTCAACTGAGCAGAAAATGAAAGTGGCCGAATGAAAAGAGGGAGAATCTGCCCCTAAGGAAGAATCTTGAGGAAAAAGAAATCCCTCACACAGTTAAAAATCAAAATGGCGTGTCTGTTGGGGGGGGGGGGGCATCTGCCCCCAAAAAAAAAACTTCTCTCCGGCCGGGGGGAAGGGCTTTCCCCCCCACATGGGCGGCCTCCAGCAACTGGGGGCCTGCCACGTTCCCCTCCGTGGCCTCGGGCTCTGCTGCGCCTGGGCCTGGGCTGGAGGAGAGACTCGGTCCACTCCTGGCCCATCCTGTCCTCGCTTGCCATTCGTTTTTCGGCACTGAGCTCACCCAGCAGGCTAGCTGTGGCTCTCCCATGTCTGGTTCACTGCAAAGGATTCTGCAGCTGGGGGGCAGCTGTTTTCTTCCCTACCTCTGCCAATTCCCCATGAAGTGCAGTAGTTTCCTGACTTCCAATTAGAGTTGCTGGCTGCACAACATACCTGAAGCAAAAGATGGATTGTGCTTGTGACACACTGACCAAAATAGGTCAAAACTGGTGGTTAGCAGGGCATGTGAGTGAGGCTGTTTGGCAATTCAGCTGAACTTTCTCTGGTTTACTAAAGAGCATTATGGAAAAGCCAGGATGAGCACCGCAGGGCAAAGAAAGTGGAATTCCGAGGTTGGTGATGGTGGCCCATTTCTGGTGAATGGTGGTAATGGAAGCACCAAGGAAGGAGCTCTGGCCAAATGCAGGGACTCTGCTAGAGGGCACAGAGACCTGGGTGGGAACACGGGCTCCCCAGCACTTGCCTTTAGGGGGACTCAATGGGGAAGGATAAGCTGATGGAAGAAGGGGCACTGCAGGATACTCCAGATGCTCTGTCAGAGTTGGGCTCCAACTGGGTGGCTGACTTGTGGGGTTACTGGAGCAGGTTTTACTGGTTACTGAGCTCTTGACACGTAAGGAAGTGGAGAAGGTCCTTTAACCTGTGGGCATGGCCACCCCTTTATTAGATGGAGGTTGTTGAAGATACCTGGGAGGAATCTGCGGTTGGGTCCAGGAAGTGGTGCCGGTTTCTTTGAGAGAGGGTAGCCCTTTGGCCTTGAAGAAGGTGGTGGCAGCAGCTTTCAATACCATCAGCTGTAGTGGTGAGGTCAGCATTTGGGGTCCTGTCAGTCAAACAATGCTATCTGCCACAGTGCAGGAGGCACAGCTTCTCCATTCGCCAACCTCTCTCCTTCAAGATCCATCCCCATGATGTCCAGAAAGGTTTTGAAAACCAGACTGTTCTCCCTGGTTCAAGACAGGGAAGTGGGGTGCATGCAGTTGGCATACAAGGCTTGTCATTTCACACTTATGGTCCACCTCACTGTCTGAAAAGTACTTCTTAAAAAGGCAACTGGACTGAGGAGGAGGAAGTTTTGTTTCCCCATCCAATAAAGGGAAAGATCTCCTTCCTCAAGGAAAAAAAAGCCCAGTTGCCTTTTGAAAAAGCACTTTTGAGACAACTATGACCTGGAAGACTGAGAATGTCCACAGACCTTCGCTCTACCTCCTTATTCCTATTCTTTAAAAGCTGCCCAGAATCACTTAGAGTGGGATCGCCTCTAAATTATATAAGCATTAAATAAATCTATAATTGGATGGAATTAATGAGACCCTCCTCCACAAGTAAAAAGTCGGTTCCCCTTCTATTCCCTCATCCAATTGTTTATGAAGATGGACTGGGCCTTAGACCGAACCTTGGGGTGCCCCATTGCATGCTTCCCTCCACGTAGACGTAGTTCCACTGAGAACGGCTTATACGTTATGCTGGGTATAAAGTTGGTCAGCCAAGCATAATATCATGGTTCTATATTTTGTCCCAGCGTCTCATGTTGGGAGAGACCTTGGAGGACTTCTAGTCCAAGCCCACCCGGAGCGGGAATCCTCCTATCGTCATAGAGAAATGGCCATCCTGTCTTTTCCTGAAAACCTCCCTGAGTCATGGAGGCCGGTTGGGCCACTGCTTAATAATCCTCGCAGCCAGGCAAGGCCAGGGGGATCCACCCCTGCAGCTCCGTTAGGAGTTCGTCCTGGGCCCACAGGTGGCTGCTTGCAATCTCAGCCTGTCTTCACTTCTGAAACCCTTTGCTTGATTTGCCATTGTGATGTCTGAACTGAAGCCTAGAAGGGTCAAAAGGTCAAGGTGGTGGCCACAGCTGTGCGCCACTGAAGCCCCACCCCTTTTGTGCACTGGCAAGCGGTGCAGCGCAAAGAGGTGGGTCTTGGGTCACTGGCACCAGAAGAATTGGTTGAACGTATGTCAGGTAATATTGGCCCGATTCGTTCCAGGTTGGAACTCTTGTGGGGTGCAGGTCCTTATGAGGTGATCAGGGAATCATCTTGCCTCGTACTTAATGGGATCCGTTTGATCCCGTTGCCCCTAAGGAAGTGGGAAGGGTACTCTGTGCTGTCAGTGCAACCACCTGTCCTTTAGATCCTTGTCCATCCTGGCTGAAAGCCTCCAGACCAGCAAGTGGGTTCCTGCAGTAAACAATTCCTGGCTGCGAGAGAGGATATCCTGGGATCTTTTATTCCTGGTTTGTCCTCTCCTTAAGGAACCATCCCTTGACCTGCCTGGATAATTTTACCTCCAGTTTACCATCTTTTCTTTCCAGGGAAAGTGGTAGGAAAGGTGGTTGCTTGGCAACTCCAGAGAGTCCTGGGTGAAACGGACCTCCAGGGTCACTTTCAATCTGGCTTCAGGTCTGGTTATGGGAGACGGACCGTCTTGGTCGCACTTATGGGCGGTCTCTGGTGAGAGCGAGAGTGAGGTGGTGCAACCATTGCTGCTTTTCTTGACTTTTCTGGTGTGGCCTTTGAGACCGTCAACCAGGATGTCCCCTTGGGCTGGTTCAGCTCCTTTCTCTGAGGTTGCTCCCAACTGGTGTTGATGGGGGAAGACGTCCAGCTGACAGCCGCTGCTTTGTGGGGTGCCTCGGGGCTCGGGGCTCGGGGCTCTCTCCTACGTAACCCATAACGTGAAGCTGCTGGGCGAGATCATCCTTAGACGGACTAACTGTACCCGGCTCTCGAAGGGTCACCACCTCCATCCGTCAACACTCTACTATTCTACCCCAGTGATGCTGTCTCTGTCCTCTCTGTCTTTTGTTCTACTGATCCTATTGATGTATTCCCCTCTTTCACTTTCTTTCAACTTCCTTTTTATTTCTTCCTTTTTTTACGGTTGAGAACTGTCTAGAATTAGTCCCATGGTGAGATAGGTGGCAATTAATGTTCCTCTTGCTCCTTCTCCTCGTGCGGTCGCAGCCACCACAATGACTTTATTTTGGCAATCCCTCCTCTCCACCCAGGGACCCTCTACTTGTAGGGCTGACAACTCAATGCTTTGGAGGGGAGTTTGCATTCTTCCACGCGGAGGGAGAAGGGCCGCCTGGCTGCCTGTGGGAGGAGTCCGAGTCTGCTGGTGCAGCGCATCCCTTGAGTCCTCCCATCAGTCTGATCCGCTTGCATTGAGCCCATGCTCGAGGAACAGGATTGATAGGCAGTTTTTTTCAGGGTTCAAACAGCTCAGGGCATGTGACGTCAGGCATCACCCAGATCGGCCCAATACAAATCACGATTTGCTCTGTTTCACGCGTGTTGTGATACATAAAGCCCAGGTGCCTTTGGTGGGGGGGCTAACAAGATCAGGCGCCAGTTGAAGCCATGTGGTTGTGTTACAGTGCTGTGGACAGCAGCCGTGGAGCCGCTTTAGCTCCGTTGCGAGATGGTCTTCTGGAGTCTGGACAAGGGTCCTGTTGCGGGGGGGGGGGGGGGGGGGGGGGGGAATCTCTGTGGTCTGACAAGTGGGGATCGGGCGAGGGAAGGAGCTGGGGGGGGGTCAGCCCTTGCCAGCCCCGGCCGCTCCCTCCGCCGCCCCCCGGGAGGAGAAGCCTCTGCGCTGGTCACCTGCTCCCAGGGGGCTCCCGGACTGGGGGGTGAACGGTGCCCCCCCGCACTGTTGTCTGAAACGCGCTTTGCGACCCAGGGCCGGCCAGGGCGGAGGGGGGACCCGCAGAAACCCCCCTCCCTTCTCCAGGTGGTCCGCTCCAATCTCCCCGAAAGGCGCCGCGGGGCGGGGGATCTGCGAGGCCGAGATGGGCGGGGCGTTGCCTGGGAGACCGGGGCGGGGCGGGCCCGGAAAGGATTTGGCCGCCGCCGCCGCCGCAACTGGCCGGGCGGAGCCAAGCGCGGAGGGGGCGGGGCTGCGGCGGAGGCCCCGCCCCGTCTCCGGCCCCTCCTCGAGGGGCGGGGCTCCGCACCTGCGGCTCGCCCGGTCCGGGCAGTTGAAGCGGAAGCTCCGGGCTGGGCGGCGCCTCCTCCGTCGGTCGGAGGGAGGCCGCGGCTCCCGGAAGGTCTCTGGAGGCCCCTCGGTCGGCTGTCCGTCCCGGCCGGGCGCGGAGGCTGCGAGGCCCTCGCCGGGAAGGAGGCGGGGAGGCCGCGCGCATCTTCCCTGGGCTCTCCGGGACTGCTCCGGGGGGGGGGGGGGGGGGGATCCCTCGGCAGGTGGACCCGGGATAGGCGGGAAGGTGGCCCGGCGACGGGCCCGAACGGAGCGGCGGTCCCGCGAGCGAGCCCTCAGACCCGGGTTAGTGGCTCCCCGGCAGCCCTTCCCGCCCCTGGAGGCCCCCTCGGCCTGCCGGTGGCTTCTTCCCGGGGCTGCTTCCGTGAAACCCTCGCCGGCCACGAGCGACCCCTTCCCGGGAGGAGCGCGGCTGGGGCTGGGGGGTCCGCCTCCCCCGTTCTCCTCCCCCAGGGCCCCCCCGGCGGTTCCCTTCTGGAAGCAGACAGTAACGGAGCCCCGGCTCCTTGCCAGCCCCTCCCTTGGGCCTGCTCTGCCGCCCTGCCCGGGGGAGGGGGGGGCTCCTGGGGGCTGGGCCCTTCCTGCTGCTCCCAACTCCGGCCTGGACCCCCCCCCCCCCCCGGCCCTTGGCTTGAGTGACGCCCCCATCACAGTCGGGAGAAAAATGCCCCAGTGGGCCCGGAAGTGATGCCAGTGGACTTGCCATGCAGGTCGCTTCACTGCCACAGTTGGGATTGGCAATTCCGTTGCTAAGCCGTGTGGTCGCTAAGCAAGGCATCACTTGGCCGGACCATGTGGTTTTCCCAATGCGATGTCTTTGCATGGCCAGAAGCCTGTGGGCAGATGGCGTCATGTGACCGGGGGATGCTGCGTTGGCCGTAAGTGCGGGGACCGGTTGTAAAGTTGTTTTCAGTGATGTCGCAACTTCAGAGGGTCACTTAAGCAGTCAGTCGGTGTAACGGTTGTTAAGTGAGAACTACACGTTACTGGGCAGCTGCGATGCCCATAGCTGCCCTGTGGCAATGATGCTGGCTTCCTTCGGAAGGGGGTTTTGCCAGGCTGGTGGGGGTGGGGGTGTTGGGCGCTCGCCTGTGCCCTCCCCAGAAGGCACCGGAGCTCACGGCTTCCCTTCCTCTCCCCTCCCTGCAGGTGCTGCAGCTCTCCATGCAAGGCATGGAGCGTTTTGCCAGCTCCGGGACCCAGACGGAGGCGGTGGTGGTGCTGTCGCTGGCCCAGGCCGCTGTCCTGGGCCTGGTATCCGAGAATGAGTTCCTGGGAGGCACCGTCAACCCCGACACCATCTTCTCCAGTTTGGCAGGGAAGCTGGACGAGGACGCCGCGGCCACTGAGCTGAAACCCCCCGAAGGCAACAGCCCGGCTGGCCCGTCCCAAGGGGAGCCCCTGGAGGAAGAGGAGGGGCCGGAGGCAGAAGCCTCCCTGGGGAAACAGGCCCGGAGGAGGAAGCGGCCCCCTGTGCGCCTGGTGCCGAAGGTGAAGCGCGAGAGGGGCGAGACGGAGGGGGAGGAGGGGGAGGAGGAGGAGGGCAGCCCCGAAGTGCCCGCCAGGCCCCCCGAAGAGCAGGCCCTGGAGAGCAGCAACCCAGAGGAGCCGTGTCCCGAGCCAACCCGGCAGAGCGGCAGGGTGGCAAGCCTCGTCCCCTTCAGCAGGCGGCCTCAGCCCCTGCAGCCGCCACGGAGGCCCCCGCAGCCAGAGCAGCCCTTGGGAGCCTACGAGGAACGGTTCCCCGGCCCACCGCAAGCCGGCCTGGACAGCGGCTGCAGCTTTCCGCCCGGCCTGCCGTCCCTGAGTGGCATGGAGAGCCAGCTGCCGGCCTCTCCCGCGGGGCAAGGCAGGAGCGGGGCAGGCTTCACCTGGCAGGAGCCGCTGGACTTCGAGGCGGAGGCCCCTGGCGAGCACAGCAAGAAGGTGCACATGGACCGCCTGGACATCAACGTCCAGATCGATGACTCCTACCTGGTGGAGAAGCGCTGGCAGTGCCGCCTGTGTGAGAAGTCCTACACCTCCAAGTACAACCTGGTGACCCACATCCTGGGTCACAACGGCATCAAGCCCCACTCCTGCCCGCACTGCAGCAAGCTCTTCAAGCAGCCCAGCCACCTGCAGACCCACCTGCTCACCCACCAGGGCACGCGGCCCCACAAGTGCCAGGTGTGCCACAAGGCCTTCACCCAGACCAGCCACCTCAAGCGCCACATGCTGCTGCACTCGGACGTCAAGCCCTACAGCTGCCGCTTCTGTGGCCGGGGCTTCGCCTACCCCAGCGAGCTCAAGGCCCACGAGGGGAAGCACGAGAGCGGCCGCTGCCACGTGTGCGTGGAATGCGGCCTGGACTTCTCCACGCTCACCCAACTCAAGCGCCACCTGGCCACGCACCAGGGCCCCACGCTGTACCCGTGCCCCGAGTGCAACAAGTCCTTCCACTACCGCAGCCAGCTGCAGAACCACACGCTCAAGCACCAGAACGTGCGGCCCTTCGTCTGCACCGAGTGCGGCATGGAGTTCAGCCAGATCCACCACCTCAAGCAGCACTCCCTCACCCACAAGGTAGGCCGGCCCCCCCTGGGGCCAGGGGGGGACCCCGCAGCCGCCTCCTCCTGCCCCCCCCCACCTGGACCCTCCCGGGGCCTTGAGCCAGGCCCCGGGGGCCGCTTGCGTCTCTTTCAGGGCGTGAAGGAGTTCAAGTGCGAGGTGTGTGGGCGCGAGTTCACGCTGCACGCCAACATGAAGCGGCACATGCTGATCCACACCAGCGTGCGCCCCTACCAGTGCCACATCTGCTTCAAGACCTTCGTGCAGAAGCAGACGCTCAAGACCCACATGATCGTGCATTCGCCCGTCAAGCCCTTCAAGTGCAAGGTAGCGCCGGGGATGGCGTGGGAGCGGGGTGGGGGGCGGCTGGGAATAGCCACGGGTCTCCCCCTCCCCTCTGGGCCTCCCCCCAGGCCACCCCGCCACTGACTCCTGCCTACAGGTGTGTGGGAAGTCCTTCAACCGCATGTACAACCTCCTGGGCCACATGCACCTGCATGCCGGCAGCAAGCCCTTCAAGTGTCCTTACTGCTCCAGCAAGTTCAACCTGAAGGGGAACCTCAGCCGGCACATGAAAGTCAAGCACGGCGTGATGGACCTCAACCTGGACAGCCAAGGTTTGCGGGGGGGCGGGCGGGGGGACGGGAGGGAGCCAGGCGCCCGCCTCCCGAGGCCACCTGGCACCCTTTTGCCTTCCTCTCCCCAGATCCCATGCTGGAGCTGTCGGGCACCAACCCCTCGGAACTGGACGGGCAGCAGGAGATGGACGACTACGAGGAGAACGCCTACGACTACGGGGCCGTGGGGAACCCCAGCGGCGGGTCTGCCTTGGCCGAGCAGACCATGAAGGAGATCGCCTACTACAACATGCTATAGTTGGGAGGGGAAGGGCCTGGTCGAGGGGGGAGGAGGGTGTCCCCCCCCCCATAAAGCACTGCCTGGGCTGCACAGAACAGGGGAGCGCAGGGAGGATCCTGCCTACTCCGGCCTCTGTGGCCCTCCCAGCCACCTCTTGGCCAGGTGTGGCTCTGCTGGTTGGCGGTTCCTCGCTGGGGCACCAGCCTTGCGGGACTCCACTTGCCTTACTCTACCTCCCACACCTGGCCAGGGCGGCCCTGCAGACCCGCCGGCCCCGAGAGTCCTGGCCGAAGCAACTGGGGGACCAGAGGGGGGTCCTTGGCAGGCTCAGCAGGTCTCCCTCCCTCCAACTGGACCGCAAGCGCTGCTCGCCTCCCACCCACGTTGCAATCTACCTCCGCCCTGAACTCGGAAAGAGCAGCCTGGGTCAGGAAGCCTGGCTCCCCCCAGTCCAGTGGACTCCAAAGTGCCCCCCCCCTTTACTTGGCAGAAGGGTCGAGGCCCCCCCACCCAGCCGGTGGCCGCCTTCTACTTCTGGGGTGCTGCCCCTTTTGTGCATAGAGCTACTGTGTTTATTTTCCAGTTCTGAAGAAGTTCAGCAATAAATGAATATTGTTTGGCAGACGGACTGGGTGGTGGTGGAGCGCTGCGGATGCGTCGCACGGACTGACGGTCGCACTAAGGGAGAAGCCGTGGTTTAATACTCTCGGGCACCCAAGGCCAGGCCCAGGGCAGTTACAGCACGCAGCCCTTTCCCTTCTCCCCTTGCAAGGTCTGCAGTCACAGAACGGGGGGTGGGGGGGGGCAAGCTCTCCTCCCCAAGAGTGGCCACACAAGGGCCTCGCAAGCTTTAGAGACGGGCCCCGAAGGACTCCCGCTGCACGGGAGCAGCCCCGCCTGCACACGCCAGTCCCCGGGAGCAGGGTCTTCGCCCGCAGCCCCTCCTGCCCTACTGCTTGCTCAGGGCTCGGTCCAGGTTGCTCTTGATGGCGTCCAGGAAGTCGGTGGTGTTGACAAAGTGCTCGTTTAACTTCACACTGCAGAGAGACAAGAGGCTCAGGGCCACTGGGGGGGGGGCGGGGGGGGGCAGGGCTTCCGACCAAAGCGCCCCCCCACCTGAGCCAGGCCTCACTTGCTTAATCCATGGATGCAGCCAGCCAAATCCTTGGTCATTGTCCCGCTCTCCACTGTCTCCACGCAGACCCTTTCCAGAGTCTCCGCAAACCTAGGGAGGGAGGGAGGGAGGGAGGGCTGAGGGAGGGAGCGGGGCCCCCTCTGGTCTGGGGAGAGGCCTCCCACAGCACCCCCTGCCCCCCCTGCCGCTGCCCCCCCCTTACCTGACCAGCTGAGGGTTGCTGTCCAGCTTGCCTCGGTGCTGCAGGCCTCGGGTCCAGGCGAAGATGCTGGCGATGGGGTTGGTGCTGGTGGGACGGCCCTGGGGGAGAGGCGCAAGCAAAGCGCATGGGCTCTGGGGGCCTGCTGCCCGCAGCGGGGCTCCCCGGGGCCCCCCCCCCCCCCCCCCCCCCCCCCCCCCCCCCCCCCCACCCTCCAGGCAAGCTCACCTTTTGGTGCTCCCGGAAGTGGCGAGTGACCGTGCCGTGGGCAGCCTCTGCCTCAATGGTCTTCCCATCCGGACAGACAAGGACCGAGGTCATGAGGCCCAGGGAGCCGAACCCTTGGGGCAAAGACAGGGTCCCTCTGACCAGGAAGGAGGGGCCACGGCTCCCCTGGCTCCCCAGTGCCCGGCGCCCAGTGCCCAGCTCCCCCAGCTGGTGCCAGCAGCCACGCTAAAGGCAGCACCAGCTGGGAGGGGAGGTGGTTCACATACTCCGGGATAAGCCCACCTCCCACCCCACCCCACCCCCAAAGGGAGCCGGTCTCCCCCCTCTGCTCTTTTCCCGCTGGAGGAAGCTTTGCTTCGTGCTCCTTGGGGGCCCTGAGCCCCAGCTGCTTCCCCTGCAAGGTGCCACCCTAGCCTGGCAGCGCCAGGTGAAGGGAGGAGCGACCCCACTTGCCAGGCGCCAAGGGCTCAGGACGGGGTTCTTGGTGCCCTGGTCCTGCTCTCATCGCTCGGCAAGCGCTCACACCCCGCCCTGCCCAGGGACCCGGGCAGGGCCCATCCGTACCTTGGGCCAGGATGTCTGACTGGACGTCTCCATCGTAGTTCTTACAAGCCCAGACAAAGCCGCCAGCAGACTTCAGCACCTGGGCCACCATGTCATCGATGAGCCTGTGCTCGTACCAGATCTTGAGCTTGTCGAATTCCGTCTTGTAGTGCCTGACAGGGAGGACAAGCAAGGTCAGCCCTGGACCGATGCCAGTGCAAAGGGGCACCGAAGGCTAGCAGGCAGGCTCTGGCCCCGGCCTCCCCCCACGGGCTCACTTCTCGAAGACTTCCTGGAAGATGTCCTTGAAGCGCCCATCGTAGGCCTTGAGGATGGTGTTCTTGGTACTCAGGTAGAGCGGCCATTTCTTCTGGATGGCATACTGGAAGCAGCTGTGGGCAAAGCCCAAGATGGACTGCAAGAGGCAGGCCGAGGGCTCAGTGGGGCATGCCTGGCACTAGCCTGCCTGGAGAGCCCTCCCCTCTCCCCCAGGCAGGGGAGGGGCGTTGGGGACGTTCAGCAGGCCAGAGCCCCGTGAGCCTGGGCCCCCCCAGGGAACGCCGCGTCCTCCGTGGGGCCCCCCCCCCCCCCCACTCTTTTCCTCACCTCATCGGTGTTGTACATGCCCACGCCGACACCCCCGCCTGGGAAGTTAAAGACTTCCCACTCCTTGGCACCACTGCCATCTTTGGGCACGAAAACCATCTTAAAGGTCCCTGATTTATCCACCACGAAGTCTGTGGCTTTGTACTGAAAAACAGAGCCCCGAGATGATTACAGCCAACCCCACCCTTCAAGACACAAAAGGCTATAAAGAAACCAAGATCAAAATCTATCTAGGGTAAGCACTGAAACCCAGTTAAAAACCGTTTCAAGAACTGCACCACAAAGAAGGAATGCTTTACAAAATGAGCAATCCAGAGGCTCAACCACTACCCAACATTGTGGAGGGGAGTCCAGCAGAGGCTCCAGAATGGCTAGAAAAAAAAATTAAGACTTTTCTTCCCGTGTTCAGACCAGCCGTGGGAATCCCTGGGCTCCCTTTGTGACCTCTGGCCTAATCTGGGACACGGGATAATTTGAGGACCTGCCCACAGATGCATCATGGCTGCCTGCCTTTCCTGACGATTCTGCCTGTCCCGTCGGCTCTTGTGCCCCCCAACTAGGAAGTGTCCTGCCCTGCGTGAGGCTTCTCTCTTGGGTCCTTGTCCCAACTGCCTGCATTCAAGATCGGTTATCTTGAAGGAGAAGCTGTCCGTCCCACGGAGGCTGCGTCCCCTTTGGGGAGCAGTGAATGGGAGGAGGATTAGATTTTCACCACACTTTATGGGGGCCTGGATTCAGGGAGTGGGGGAAATGTTTTTGGATCGGATCAGCTGAGTGTATCCCATTCACTTCACTTAATGCCTTCCAGGTCCTGTAAAGGTTCAGCTATTAAACCTTGAAGAACGTGCAGACGTGAGCAACTTTGCTGATTGGACTTCCCCAGGTGGCTCTGGCGGGGGGGGGCTCCTGGGGCCCACCCTCGTCCCCACAGGCCTTTCCCCTCCGGGGTTTCCAACCACTTACGGGCCGGGCACCGGGGCATCCGGCACCAAGAACGCTGCTCCGTGTGGGCTGGCCGCAGGGCGCCCCTCCCCCCCCGCCCCCCGCAAGCCCACCTGGTCTCCGTGAGCGTGTCTCCCGATGGTGATAGGCTTGGTCCAGCCTGGGACCAGGCGGGGGATGTTCCTGCAGACGATGGGCTCTCGGAAAACCGTGCCCCCCAGGATGTTCCGGATGGTGCCGTTGGGGCTCTTCCACATCTTCTTCAGCTTGAACTCTGCAGGGGCCACAAGGGAGACGCATCCGGCATGGGGGCGGGGGTGACTTGCCCGCCTCCTCTGGAGCCCCCCCCCCCCTTGCTCGGACAGAGCTTCTGCCTTGCCTGCCTTGCTGCTTGCACATACCTTCCACGCGGGCCTCGTCGGGGGTGATGGTGGCGCACTTGACGGCCACGCTGTACTTCTGAGTGGCCAGGGCCGAATCAATGGTGACCTGGTCCTCCGTCTGGTCCCGATGGGGCAGCCCCAGGTCGAAGTACTTCAGCTGCAGGTCCACGTTGGGCAGGATCAGCTGCAGGCAGCAGAGAAGGAGCAGTCAGGGCCAGGCGCCCTCCCGTCCTCCCTCGCCAGGCCGGCTTCCTCCTCCTTGGCAGGGTTTATGGGCAGGGATCCCTTTCAAGCCCTCAGGCCACCCTATTCTGCAGGGAGGGGAATTTGACCCTGCTACCCTCCGTGAGCCACTGCCTTGCAAAGTGGGCCTGGGATCGCCTAAGACGCATGCAGGGATCAACAAGATCCCCCACCTCAAAGCTTCAAGGCCGGCCACCCCTTCTCCTTCACTTTCGACTCTGCCCAAGCACTCACCCCGTCCACCTCGGGTCAGGGAGTCAGTGGCATTGGGGTTTGTCCCCGCGGCCAGGTACCTTCTCCTTGATGAAGGCCCAGATGATCCGGGTCATCTCATCCCCGTCCATTTCCACCACGGGGTTGGCAACCTTGATTCTCTGGTCAGCATCTGCGGAGAAGGAGGGGAGGGCAAGAGGGTGACTCTCCCTGGACAGCCCCAGCCTCCCTCCCGTCCAACCGAGCCCCGTGGCTTCAAAGCGATGGGGGGGGGAAGGTTTAGGGCTCCTCTCTGGACGGCTGCTTCTGACACCTGGGCCCCTGGCCAGCCCGCCTGCGGAGCCCGGTCAAGCGGAGGTGCCCGGCCAGGGAAGGCGGCTCTTGGGGGGCATCTAACGGTCCAGCCCCAGGAGCCTCCGCGGAGCCCACCCGCTGCCCGGAGGGGGCCCTCCTCGGCCTCCAGGGCTGCCGCCCCCCCCCCCCCCCCCCCCCCCCCCGCCCTCCCGCTGGGGGGCCGCCCCGCCTCGCCTCGCCGCGGCCAAAGGGACAAGGTCACGCTCAGAGGACGCCGGCGGCGGCGGCGGGAGGCCCGGCCGCCCCTCTGCAGCCCGCCGAGCGCCAGCTGGCCGCGCCTCCTCCAACAGGTGCCCGGGCGGGCCGGCTGCCAGGGCCGCAGACGAGGAGGGGGCGCCGGCCGAGGCCTCCCCGGCCCGACCGCTCCGGCCAGAGGGGAAGGCCGGGCCCGCAGCCCTTCGCCGGCTCGGACCGCAGCAGAGCAGCGCCGGGGTCGTCCTCGGTCTGGCCGAGCTCCCGAAAGCCGGCAAGGCGCCCGCCGGGCGGCGGCCGGGCGGGCGGCGGGACTGCCTCTCCGGGGCCGCCAAGCGGAAGGCGCCCCGACCCGACCGACCCGCGCCCCACTCACAGTGCCGCTGCGGGGGCCGCTGCCAAGCGCTGAGCGCGGGGAGCGCCGCGGCCGGGCTGCGAGGCCAGGCGGCGGCGGCGGCGGCGGCCGAGCGGAGGAGGGAGCGTGCCATCGCGGCGGGCGGCGGCGGAGGAAAGGGAAGGCGAGGCGAGCGCCACCGCGAGCGCAGCAGCCCTGGAGCCGCCCCCGCCGCCCCCCCGCCCCGCGCTGGGCCCTCCTCGGGGCGGGGCGTCCCTGCTCGGCGGCCACGTGCGCCTTTGTTCCCCGCCCGCGCCGC